TTCCATCTTCCTACAATCTCAGGCGTTTCTGGAAACTTGAGAGTTGGCTAGGTCGATTTTCAATGGGTGTGTGTGGCAAGTACGCTGGTGTGCCACAAGAATTTTTAAATCATGCAATACCTGACTATTTAGTCAGGGGCACTGACCTCTTTTCCCTTAGGCTGTCAAACAAAAAACGACAACAGTCAACATAACAATAGCTGTCTAGCGTGAATGAGTCAAAATTATACCTTTATTTTCTTGTCAGATCAGCAAAAAATACATTTTTGGTCTGCCACAGAATTTTAGTAATTAGTTTACGTGTGCCATGAGATGAAAAAGGTTGAAAATTTCTGGGCTAAGTAATATTAGGGTCCAGTAACAACCCAGAACAAATTGGAAATATAGTCAAATGAGACACTAGCTGGCAAAAAAGCCAACCTGTTTGCTATCATAATCACCCTTCCTATATATTCCACGTTTGAGTTGCTCATTTAGTGGTGACTCAAAGAACACTGAAGGTTCTATTTATGTTCACCTCCTACTCCGTTTTTGGTCAGTCTTACATGACCTTATTTGCCTTAAAAATATAGTATTGTCTACGTTCCCTCCTTAAAATAGCATTAATGTGTCTGTGATAATATGCTAGCATCAAAACTAAACTTTATATGAAAAAATAATCTAGATATTAGATTTCCAAGGAATTAAGATGTAAATCCATGAAAATTTGAAATAAAGACAAGCAGAAATGTTAAAACAAGACAGGGTGCTCTGTGGTTTCACTTTTTTTTTTTTAAGGACTCATTTATGAGACAAGTTCCCCCATGATCTTTTTTTCTCCCCTACTACAATAATGCTCTATTATTCAACATCTAGGAGAAAATATTGCAGTCCTTTTAACGTGCTGTTAATTTCAGATCCCATAAAACAGAAAGAGGTGGGAAAAGGCATGATACTTATGGAGCCTTCCTCATAAATGCCTGCAGCCTCTTCCAATGCCGGTCTAGTGCCACAGCTACACTGATGCCTTTGCAATCTGGCTCCAGCCCTGGGTCCCCAACAACAGAAATTTTATATAACAGAGACCTAAACACTCCCATGAACCATACAGTTAACAAGTGTGGAGGCAGGTGAACATGAACCTGGCCTCCCTCAAGGAGCAGCCACCATCCTTGGGCTTCGAGGAAGCTACCCGAGGACCATCCCATGCTACATACTACTAGCCGACCTACCTGTTGATAGACGAGTTCCACAAGTTCTTGCAAAGCATCGTCTGTTGTAACCCAGCCATTCAGGGTCTCTGCAAACTGGTCAATTTCAGTTTCAAAACTGCCAGGCTGCTCTGTAAGATGATTCAAGAAATCCTGAACATATTCAGATAGAGTGGGATAATCCTCACAGCCATCCTCATAGGATTCCTGTAGATGCAAAGTTAAAAAGGAAAGTTTTAAGCATGCAACTGGCTGAAATGAACATGAGGCAGTTTTAGGTCAAGATGGTTCCAGCACAAATAATTTTTTAAAGGATCTTTCATATGATAAAAGTTATTTTATTAATAAAACTAAAGGCCCAATGCACAAAAATTCGTTCAAGAGTAGGCCTTCCTTCCCTCCGACACCTGGGCTTTCCTACTCCAGCAGCCAGCAGGCACCCGGGACCCAGGATGGCTTCCCCCAGGCCGCCCCCAGGCACCCAGAACCCGGCTGGCTTCCTCCGGCCTGGCTTCGTCAGGAAGGACTTCTGGAAGGATGTCCGGAAGACATCCGGTCTAATTAGCATATTACCCTTTTATTATTATAGAAGCTTAAGTCCACTTAATTTTGCCCAATGGCCAAAATGTTCTAACAGAAGGGCTCTATCTAGCCAGGCAGGGAATTGTCTTCTCATCCCTGACAGATTTACAAGATGGCTGACAAAGCTTAAACCAATATTTCACTATAATACCAGTATCAAAATTAAGATTTTAATCTATTTATGGATATAAGATCTAACATTTGCAACGGGAGGGGGGAGGGGCCAGGGATATAGAACCAATGGCTGGCCACATGTAGCCCTAGCTGGTTTGACTCAGTGGACAGAGCATCAGCCTGTGGACCAAAGGGTCCCAGGTTTGATTCAGTGAAGGGCACATGCCTAGGTTGTGGGCTCAATTCCAAGTAGGGGGTGTGCAAGAGGCAGCCAATCAATGATTCTCATTCTTGATGTTTCTATCTCTCCCTCTCCTTTCCTCTCTGAAATAAAAAATATATATTAAAAAAAAAATGGCCACATGTAGCTAACTGACAAGGCCATGAGGATTCATTATATCATTCTCATATCCTAATAGATATTTGACAATTTTTGAAAAAAGGTAGTAAGGCTTGTCATCTGTCTGTCTGTTAATTCTTAAGGACATGGAAATATGTACAGTAAGTGACTATATAGTTTCATCATAGTGTACAGTGGTAGAAGACCCTGACTGCCATATCCAGAATCCATTAAAATAAACCAAAGGAAAAAAAAAAGAAAAACAATGGTCAGGAATAGGATATAGAACTCAATGGTAAGAATAGACAGAGAGCAGGAAATTCTAGCAGTGGGATTAGGACTGGAGATAGAATGGCTTAGAGTTCTGGAAGGGTTAAGAAAGCACAGCAAAAGCCTATCAAAATGGCTTTTAGAAAAAGCATGCTTTCTTTTTTAAAGTTTTTGTTTATTGATTTAAGGGAGAAATATATATAGAAACATTGTTGTTCCAATTATTTATGCATTCATTGTATGTGCCCTAACCCGGGATCGAAACTGCAACCTTGGAGTATCAGGATGATCCTCTAACCAATTGAGCTACCAGCCCAGGGCAGCATGCTTTCTTGAAAGCAGATCCAGCTCAAGGATACCAAGCAATAGATTTTCATGTCTAAGAAGAAGACTCAAGGAGTTACGGGAGAACAAGCCAGGAGGCCACTAGAACAGAGGCTCCATGAACGTAGGAATTTTTGTCCATGGTGCTCGCTGCTGTCCCCCAGTACTTAACTCAAGATAGGTGTTAAACTGTTGTTGAATCAGTGAGCGAATATAGCTAACTTTGGATTATGGTTACTGTAAGAAAAAGTTTCCCTCACAAGATCCTGCCCTGCCAGGTGGCTCAGTTGGTTGGAGCATCATCCTGTACACCAGCGGTTCTCAACCTTGTGGCCCTTTAAATACCCCTCATGTTGTGATCTAAACATAAAATTATTTTCGTTGCTACTTCATAACTGTCATGTTGCTACTGTTATGAATCGTAATGTAAATATCTGATATGCAAGATGGTCTTAGGCGACCCCTGTGAAAGGGTCATTCGACCGCCAAAGGGGTCGCGACCCACAGGTTGAGAACCGCTGTACACCAAAAGGTTGCAGGTTGGATCCCCAGTCGAAGCACATACAGGAAGCAACCAATCAATGTTTCTCCCTCTCTCTCTTTTTTCTCTCTTCCTCTCTTCTTCTCTCTCTTAAAAAAAAAGTCAGTAAAAACATATCCTCAGGTGAGGATTAAGAAAAACCTGCCGAAACCGGTTTGGCTCAGTGGATAGAGCGTCGGCCTGCGGACTGAGGGTAAAAAAAAAAAAAGAAAGAAAAACCGATCTTATCCTAAGAGTCAGGAGACTAAGTGGCTTGCGGAACTCTCAGCCTTGGCAGATGGCTAACGGAGAGAGGCTGGAGAATGTACCAGGGCAGGTGGCAAACTGAGTGCTCAGAACCCAGGTGTATTCCAAGCAAATGCAGTAAGCCAGTGCGCAAAGTCGAGCTCACACACACTGTCTAAAGTGGCTGCTTCTATTCAACCCCTTTCACCAAGATAACAGCCTAGTATGGCCAAATCTTATGATTTCATGACACCACAAAATTCAGATTTGCAATGTCTAATTTAAGTATTGGTAACTTATTAAAAATGCTTAAAAAAAAGGGCAACAACAGGGTCTAAGAAGACATACACAAGCCATTCTAGCTTGCAATCCATTCTAGGGAATTAAGAAGAGAAGAGGCTGATTAGAGGATATCAAAGGATGCCTAAAAGATGCCAGCGGCTCAAAGTAAGTAGACTAACACAGCCATTACTCGGCTTTATAGCTAGCCCAGGAGTCACTTGTTAAACTAGTTGGTACAGAACCATGAAAAAACTAGATCCCTCCTTATCATAAAACAGCTCAGTCAACAGGGAGAAAAGCAGATGGAGAACTCTGGCTGTTAGAAGGTAAGTACCCTGAAGAGTTTATTCAACTACTCACAGGTCTCCAACGGTTTCTTTCATGTCTGGGCCAAATATAATCTTCTGGCAAGAATCCAAACTAGTCTCCCTTCTACTTTACACGACTGATGGCTCCTTTCAGCCCAAATCAACTGCTCTTCCCATTATGCCTACACTTTCCAGCCCCAAAGCCTTTTCCTAATGGAGTCTAAGATGCACGGAGATGCTAAAGCAGTGATTCTCAACCTGTGGGTCGTGGGTCGCGACCCCTTCGGGGGGCGAACAACCCTTTCACAGGGGTTGCCTAAGACCATCGGAAAACATATATTATTACATATTGTTTTTGTGATTAATCACTATGCTCTAATTATGTTCAATTTGTAACAATGAAAATACATCCTGCATATCAGATGTTTACGATTTGTAACAGTAGCAAAATCACAGTTATGAAGTAGCAACGAAAATAATTTTATGGTTGGGGGTCACCACAACATGAGGAACTGTATTAAAGGGTTGAGGCATTAGGAAGGTTGAGAACCACTGTTCTAAAGGGTGGAATATAGTTTTCCCATACTTTCTATCAAATATGGAAGGAAAGCAAAATAAAGGTAACAAAAAGGAGTGCCACCATTAGTTACTGGATAAATACAAACTAAAACTACCAGATACTACACATTCACTAGAATGGCTAAACTTAAAAAAGAGAAAATATTAAGTGGTGGTCAAGCTAACACAGCAACTAGAAATCACACACTACTCCAAGCGTAGACTGAATAGTCTCAGGAAAACTAGTGGGCAGTGTCTACCAAAGCTGGCTGCTTATGTCCCAGCAATTCCATTCCTTGGTATGTACCAAACAGAGGCAAGGGTGCATATCCATCGAGACATGGCCAGAAATAGCAGCCCTATTCATAATAGCCACAAAGTGGAAGCTACTCCAGTGTTCACCAGACCAATGGGACTGTGGTAATATCACACAATGGAATAAGTCACCTCTGAGAATAAGTCACCTCCAATTACACGCTACACCATGGATGAATTTTGATTGAATGAAAGTGAGAAACAAATGTAATATATTCAGGATGACTCCATTCATATAAACTTTGAGAAGAGGCAAAACTATTATTGATTTCAGTGCTGGTTGCCCGAGTGTTCACTTTGTGAAACTTTGAGCTAACCTTTATGCGCACCATTCTGTTTGTTTTATGGCAATAAAGGTAAGAACACAGGAAAGATAGGACTTACGCTAAACTTATTATTTCATGGTCCTGCCCCACTTACCTACAATTAATTGCTATGCATTTATTTAGCACAACAGATTCCTTTCTACCCACCCCAATTGTGCTGTTTCATCCTGGTATTTAAGAAAAACATGACCAATTTTTTAAATTCTTATGTTACTGACAAAGATGAATCTGAAAGCTTACAAGTTCTTTATACCTATGTAAACACTTTATCAAAATCCCCTTCATTTCCACATAACAATAATTACAATCATCTACTTCAAGTTAACAGAGCCCAGATGTGTACTTCTCAACATTCAAAAACCTACACCAACTAGTCTGCCTCAAAACCACTTTGATTTACCCTAAATCTATCAGTGGGCCTATCTTACAAAACTCAAATTAAAAAATAAACTTTGCCAGGCCCCTATTCTGTATGTTATTCATAAAGTCTGGCCAAAAAATGTCAGCTTTATAGGTTGAAGGGGGGAGAGGGAGCTTGCCTACATCAAGTTTTCCAGCCTCCAGATACTCTGCAGATGCTGAGAACAAAACAGACGAGGATGTCTGCTCTCAAGCTCACACTCTGATCCCCTGAACCTAACTACAACACATACTCCCGAGTCGGTTCTGCGTCCCCCCGAGTTCCATGCATGCATTCATGTCTTTGTGTGCAGCACAGAAAACGCCGGCGTGCGGCTGAGTGAGGTCGGAAGCACGTTCGCCGGTGCATTTAGGTACCCCTCGCATTTAGGCACCCCGAGCTGAGGAAGGGCGGTACTCACCGTGTAGTTGGAATAACCCAAGGGGTAGAACTCAGGGGCGTTCGCAGACAGCTTGGACATCAGCACCGGGGCGACGACCACCTGGGGTTTGGCCATCGCGGGCTCCGAGTTCTGCAGGGGGATGCTGTCCTGGGGTCTCGTTTGTTCTAAGGGTGGAATAAAAAAAGGGGGGGGGGTGAGGTGCCTCCACGTCTTTGTGTAATAAACCATGTGCCGAAAAGCCACCTGAGAAGGGCTGGTTCTTGAGCGCCACACAAGGACCATCACGCGAGGCCAGGCCGTGGCAGGAGAGGCGCCGAGGGCCAGCAGGAAGGAACAGA